AGCACCTTGACCAAATCGGAGGGTGCCTCCTTGCTTATCGTGAATATTACACCGACATGAATTACTACAAGTACACTGGTGAGTTTTTATCTTGTTTTGTTCGTATGCTACAGCTAGTACCCTGGCCTGGAGTTCTCGTTAGCAAATTCCTATTCCCTGGCGTTTTCTGAACATTCCGTGTAGTACTGAATACGTTATCAAGTATTCCGATTTGGGTATATGTGGAATTTGGACATGTATTTTATAAAAAAATTCTATTTTCCCAATAGAGCGTTTGTAGTGAAATGGTTGCCCAAATACAACGAAATTGATTCTGCAGTTCTACAACTTGTACTGAAATCCAGTCAAAATAAAAATGATTCTTCATGACAGTTGGGGTCAATGAAATCTGATCCAGGCATAACAAATAGTGACGCCTGCCACCCCGAGAACGAATGCCCATTTGGTGGGGGATACCAAAGTACTCGAAAGTGGTGCGTGTTTCAATGTGGTATGGAAGTTTTATAATAATATGATCTCTGGTCAATGCAGCATACGATAGCCATCATGAATTGCAGGCCTCGAACGCAACTCAGACCAGAATTGGCAGTTCCCTAAGTTTATAATTCCATGGCCCCAGCTGTGGTTATAGAAGTTTGTTTGCACATTATTCTTATAGTCGATAGGTTTATACTGATGGCCACAAACAACGGCAGTTCAAACTTCACTGACGTGTTCATGAGCTTAGAGATTTCCCTCCTCTATTTCTGTTGTGCATACAGGTCTGTCCAATATGCATTGACGGTATTGGGTATGGCATCTGCTCTGAGAAGGGAATCGCTGGAGCCACAGTCCAATTATACAGGCTTTCAAGAAACAGAGAGGAGCCATCTTTCCAAGCTGATACCTGATGTGTACCCACGGAATTCTCACGAGATACCTTACGGACTACGTGTGGTGTGTACTTCATAGTACTCCTTCGACTACTATCTAGAATCAAGTCGACTGAAACAAGTTCAAACAACTCTGGCTTCAAACGAGCTGTCGATTAGACGAACAAAACATTCTCTCATATACTGGGGCACTCTGACAACTCACGACCTATTCCTAACGATTGCCACCGCTTATAAAATATGTAGAGTGCTGATTGGAATGTGCTCACAATCTCAACAATTCAGTGCTATAATCATTTGAACAATGTGTTAGAAATTATTCCACTTTTCCTTCCATAAATGTTGTATCCACAGTGCTCCAAAGTTTCTTTGCTCTCTAGCCGCCTGCGAGTGCAACAGTGAAATTGTTAGTTCATATTTATAATGTGGGTATGTGGGAGGGGATTGAACATATTTTTATATAAGGGACCTGCAACTGTAATACCACAGTACAGTAGCCGGCAAATATGTAGAAAACAGAAATGCATGTTCCCATCATTGTACGTGGACGGGCGCAGCAGGCCGAAGCTATCAGCCAGAACAGGATTTACAATCACTTAGAGATACTTGAGCTATTCTAGTATTCTCCGTGAGCTGTCCCATTCCACAATGGTTCATGCCACCATTATTTCTGGTAGTATCCATGTGCATAGTTCCAAGACCATCTCGGATTCTTCAGCAATTTGTGCCACGGCAAAAGACAATGCTTGACTCGGTCACTGGAGCAGTCAAACTTCCCATCACAAATGAACTTCAATTTCTCATCTGTTTCAAGTATATGTACTGCCATGACTTGACCATACTTCATCCACAGCTGGGCGAAAATTGTGGCGTCGAATTCCATAGCGCACCTTCTTGCTGCCATGCAGGAGTATGTTGAGAGAAGTGAACATATTTTTACTAAAAAACAACAGCCACTGAAGAGGATAGCAATAGCCTTGGGTGAATTTCCTGCAGGTACACGTTGTTGGTAGGTCTACTGGTCGGTCTCCATATCGTCAAGTTCTGAAATCACCTGTACTACACATCTTGTAGAAGGGATCCTGATCGAATAATTTTCTGGTCATAAAATTCACTAAACTTGAGAGTGAGACAAATAGTCAGTACTCCCCGATTCTGTCAAGGTGCTTTGAAGTCTGGATGCACATGTGATGCTAACAAGCTCCCCGTCGTGACTTCCAGCAGCTTCACTTTCCCTGCGACAGCGGCTATCAACCTCTCTCTCCATCGTCGACAGTTATCACAGATTCAACATTCTACATTTTATCAGCACTGCACTGGGTGAATATGTCTCGAGACGAATTTAGCGGATCAACAACGCTTCGCTGGAGATAAATTCTCCTCTGGAGGACCTTCAGGGTACCTGGAAGGGTATAGAAGACGGGATCGCTCACGACGTTGAGAGAACATAGAAAACAACCTCCTCTTCGATTGAAAATTGGCCAAAAAGTATGTGAAATGTATGTGCGCAGATGCATTTCCACTGGCAAGCTAATCCCTCATTACGTCATCAGCGCTCGCTCGGCGAAATTCAAAAGTCGTCTTCCTGCTCGACTCGATCGCTTCTGGAGACTCGTTCTTGTTCGAGGGGTCTTCTCTTTCACCTACCTTCGTCTTGGCATCGAAAACTCGGCGTCGAAAATGAAGCCGGAGTGCCCCTTTAAAAACAGTTACTAGTAGCACTGAAAGTCTATGGTGAGAAAAGTTTCCAGTTCTACCAATTGTGGCACTGGAGTGGAGGTTGGCAGCGCTGGATTCTTTGTACTGCATCCTATGTGCTGAGATGCATGTCACTATAATATCAGCGTTTCAACCCACATGATTGTACAGCGCCTGGTGGATGGACAGTGCAATCCGAACGGCTGAATACGACAGTGCCAAGTAGCTGTAAAACGGGTAACTATTGCGACGAAAAAATGTTCGCGAATTTTGCAAGAGGTAGGTAGTGGAGGCCAATGCGAGGCGGCGAACCACCATCGCAGTGCGCAACCGGCTTCGACCATCATCCTCAAGCCGGGTCAACAAGTTCTGCGCAAGAACGAACGGCAGCACAACAAGCTCGACTCAATCTGGGATCCAAACCCATGGACTGTGGACGAGATGACGGGCTCCACCGTGGTCATCACCCATCCAGTCACAGGCCAGCGGGTCTCTAGGCATGTGTCATTTTTGAAGCCGGCTCCCGCTATCGTGGTTCATCCTCCGTCGCCCGAGCCTCCACTACCTACCCCGCCGCCACCGCCACCACCACCGACAACACCACCCCTGCCCCACCGGCGGCGTCAGCAGCCACCGCGCTCGGCCAAGGCGGTCCACAAATATGTCCAAACAGCACGCGCCACCTGATGTATGTGTGCATCAAGTCCACCCTGAATCTCAGACTGGCTTCAGTTTTTTCCCTTTTATCCTTTGTGTGACTGTTTACCTGCTCCGCCTTTTCTATCTGTAGCATAAGGAGAGGGACAGCCTGACATCAAGTCATTTATCCATGCCTCGTGTTTTCAGTTTTCAGTTTTCCACTTTTCACCCTACGTTTTTTCATCTGTGCTTGGGAGAGATGTAGTGTTCACGTGTTCCTACGCGCTGTGGCATTCCTTGGCCACTCCAGACATTCATGATGCATGTAGTAGTAGTAGTACATCGTGATGTTATGCATGTAGCATGTGCCGTTTCCCGCGCGCGCGTGAAACGGACTTCACGGCTTTTAGTTGCTGTGCATGGTTTGACTCTGGACTCTTGTTGTTTTGGACTGAAGAAGAAACAATACTACAGCCCCGAATCGCAAACTTTGAACGACGCAAACTCGCGCCATGTAAAGTTCAGTGCAACGACTGACTCGACTGTGTCACAAACATTAAACAGCGCAAACCAGTCTCAATTTGTACAACGCAAACATAAATTTTCTTGTCGCAAACGTTACCCGTTTCACAGTAGCTGTTAGGTAGCTGTTAGGTAGCCCAGCGCCTGTCATGATGCACAGTGGTACTCCATGATACGCAAGTATATACCTGAGCCCTAATCCGCACTTCAGTGGCTCGCACTAGTAGATATAGACACAACATTTTGATCAGGAGTCAATGTGGCAGGAATACTTCTTACTGTGTTGCAGTGCACACTCGGCCCAAGGATGGTTGTCTGCAATGTCTTCAGCATGAAGGTGGTGAAGACCGGCTTGATGGCCACCGCATTCGCACTGCGGAGTCGAAACACCCTCTCCACCAGGGAGTAGTAAAATTCCGGTATTTTACTACTGCCAGCTGCTCTCCACCCATGCAGCCTCCAGCCTTTCTGATCCTGCAGGCAAGCATTAGCAGTGAGATACTGATTGGCATTTGGATGGAGTCTGGGCATGCACCTCGTCCATCTTACATCCTACTTCACACCCTAGCAAACCGAATGCCATGATTGTTATTTTTAGCGTCTGCTACGAAGTTTCCAACTCACTTACCTACAATGGCTATAAATGTAACAAAAGGCACTTGTAGATCTACCGGCAGTCGTCACCGCATGCAGACTTCGGACACGATCGCGCTTCGGACACGATCGCGCGATCCGTTCACACTCTAGCTCGTGCCGTGACTTCACAGGAGCATTCGTCAGTTGGCGCTGGGTCTGAGGAAAGGGTAGAACTAATAATTACTTCCACTCTGAAAATTCGCACAGAGGACGCTAAAAATAAAATGTGGCGAAACTAGCCCAGTATATTTTCATTCAATGCTCAACTCAGCTTAGGACAACTGTGTGGCTACATTAGAAGCAGTAGACGGTCTGGGTTCTACACAGGAGGTTGGTTTACGTCGCACAGAGCAGAGCTAGCAAGATTCATAACCATGTAACTACACTGAAACTATCCAAACTAAAGAGGAACCTGAAATGCTGTGTGTCGCGTCCGCCCCAAGCAAAGGCGTTCCTCAGTTGGACTAGCCTAGGTTTCCGCTCGCAGAACTAGCAGCCAGAAGTCATGCATTGTACTTTGTAGTTCAGTGTAACATGCGCATGATATGTGACCTTGACAAGAGCATGCGCATGCAGTCTACACTAACCACCCAAGCAACGGACTGTAAACCATGGTAAACTGCCGAGGCTACCATGGCTACAGGGTTTGTTTGTACTGCAGTTCTGTAGCATAGCGGTTTTACGGTCTGCTAAGTGCTATAATTATAACTATCATAATAATAATGTTGTAGTCCAGTTTGCATGACTTGTGCCTGGTGGCAGTTGTGCTGACTTGGAGGTTTCAGACTTGTTGCACAAGCTGCAGAATGCAGGGGAATTTTTTGGTGTGCGTGCTACCGTGCAGTGCAGAGGAGGACTACGATTCGCGCGTTCACAGTTTCGGTTCTCGTCCAAAGCAGCCAGGATCTCTGACAAGTGAGACTGGCAGCAAGACTGACAGCAAAACTGACTCTGTGGAACACGTAAGTGCATACACATGGTTAGCAGCTACATGTGGAATGTACTGCCAGTGTTGCCAACCGCCCGTATTTGTCCGTATTTTTACGGAAAAACGAAGTTTTGTCCGCAGTACGGATTTCAATCGAATATCCCGCAAACGATCATGTATATGATCGATTACTTAAAACCATCATCAGGCGCGTGCTCGGCGATGGGCACGGGGGGGGGGGGGGGGGGGGGAGGGGGGGCACGTGCACCCCCAAAAAATTTCAATCTGGGTAATTGCAATTGTAATGTATGCAAATATGCTCTATAATTCAAGAAAGGTTGCAAACAAATTGCAGAAAATTGCCGGGGGGGGGGCTCCCCTCGGCTCCCGTGCACCCCCCTAGTTGGGGGGCCGAGCACGCCCCTGATCATAACTCCATCGTTTCTTGTGCAAAGTCAACAATCGAAGGGTCTACGCGGTAGCAAAAACTCCAAGCCGCCCAATGCAACAATCGCTGAAGCGACGTCGGACTCCAGAGATATCGCGCGCCGTATTCAGGTATTCTTACCTTGGCAAAATTAAATTTTTCATCGAACTCTTCGCCATTTTTTTTGGGGGGATCCTTTTTGCGTGCCCTTTGAGCAATTGAGCACTTTATAATGATGTAGCCGGCTGAAGTTTGAATCGTCTCGAACAATTTTGAGCGTTCTGCGATGAAGGAGAGTCGAATGGTGTTGATGGGACGATTTGCTTGCATATTAGGCTTGGAGACGACTTTGCTGTGTTACCGCGCCTGATTTGTGGCGGCTTAATAATGGTGCTTGGCATCCTGGCGTTGCTCCTGCCTAGAGCTTTCCAGCGAGCCCTAGATTGTGAAAATCAAGCGAAGTAGAACAAAGTTATGACCTAGTGAAGTTGAAAATTGTACTGAATTCGTGCGTAGCCTTTACAGTTGAACTAATCAGTCGAAATGTTTACCTGAAAAACGAGTACGGAAACCTCTGAAAAATTCTGCAAAATGGCACTGGCCAATACGCATGGTGGTAGAGGCCACTTGGTAACACTGTACTGGATGCACCTACAAACAATACCACGAAGTATGAATTCTGGCCCCAAGGGGGCGGGGGGGGGGGGGGGGGGGGGTGCGACTAACACACCGGGAAATACGGTACACCTAATATCCAATGATGCGGCTGTGTGCAGAAATGTAGAAATGCATGCATTGCCGTCTTGGCAGGACATGTTCCACAGACCAGTTGATACAGGCGCGTAGGCAGGGGGGGGGGGGGGGTGCTTTGGGTGCCAAAGCACCCCCCTCAAAAATTTCGACCATGGGCATGGGTCTGGCTTGGCATGCATTGTATGATCAAACAACCGCGACTGCCCTCAGCCCAGACTGGGTGCATGCTACGTAGATCTGCGAGTACTGCATTGTACTACACGTGCTTGCACTTTTCCGCCGTTGCAGTCAGTGTGCAAGTATTAGTTACTACTCTTCATGAACAAAGACAAGTGGTCTCAAATTCCTAAAATGCGCTACTCGTGGCGCATGTTGCTGCGAAGGTAGAAGGTCTGAAAACACCAACAAAATCAGCGAAGCGCTTGCCAATAGCCCTTTCCCAAAGGTGCTCGCCCTTTTTTCGCCCTTTTTGGCCCTTTTTGGAAAAGCCCGTTTGTTTCGCCCTTTACTGCGTTTTTGGTGAATATCGCCCTTTTTGAGCTTTTTTAGCTGAAAAAGTGCTAAAATCTGTTTGCTCATGCATGCGATCACAGTTTCCGAGTGCTCGATGGGCCTTGGCACGCTGCTTTTTGGGGGCAACAAGTTGGTGAAGCTTGCACCCGCGGTACCCGGTGTAGACAATGCTGTAAAAAGTGGGTTTTTTGAACTTTAGTTCCTGTTTTGCCTTTCGTGGACCCATAAAAATGGAAGAGTGCGTATTCATTTCTCAGCTTGGGTTTATACATTTGTATCTGAACATGTATCATGGCTATGCTTCACTGAAAAAAGAGCACTTTTTGCCTGTTTTCACTGAAAAAGAGCACTTTTCAGCATATTTTGAGGGACGCGAAAAGCACTGAGTGCGAATTAAAAGAGCACCTTTGGGAAAGGGCTACTTGCCAAGGAAAGAAGGTGCGGAACTGCTTACCCTACCCCGCTGGAAGGTCGTTACAGTGTACTTGAAAAATGCTAGCTTGCCTTCATCCCCTGCCACCTGGAGGCATGGATCGCTTGAAAACGAAGTTTCTTGACCTGAATTTGAACGCGCGTCTTCTTCATCGTATTGTTGAGTGCTGAAGGGTCAGACCGTCTGCCTCAAACTCTGATGAAGACGTCGACCTTAGCTGCAAGTGCAGCGAAGCGGGAGGCCACAAACTAAAGCTTGGTCCGTCGACAATGCTCTGCCTCAATTTCTAGCTGATTTCTTTGCCCCTCGAGTGGACAAAATAAATTTGAAAAATCGCTCTGGGAAGCAACAATTTTTTAATGACGCGGAGGAAGTAGATTCTTGGAATGGCAAGCTGGAGACATTCATACCGGTAATACATAAAATAATTCAAGGTGTACACTGCACTAGCATGCATACAATATGCATACATGTACA